AGTAGAAAAATGAAGTCATCTTGCATGGTCTGTCATATGTATTTGAATCTAGAAATATTTAATTTTACTCTGTAAGATGTTTTATGTTATTAATATTTTACAGAATACCATCTTATGTTTGATGATATATAAAATTTGTAAATTGGTTTGTCTTACAGTGAGGCTTACTGGATTAATTGAATTTTTGCCCTTTTAGGAATCTATTCGATGGTTAGAAGATGAAAAGGCTCTCCTAGAGATGACTGAAGAAGTAGACTATGATGTAGATTCCTATGCTACGCAACTTGAAGCTATTCTTGAGCAAAAAATAGACATTTTAACAGAGCTCCGGGGTAATTCTTTTTTCATTTTAGTGTTTGAAATCCGCCTAATATTTGTATGTATGTAGTGTGAGGATTTCATATTGCAAAAGGATTTGTTAATAAGTAAAAATTGTGGGTAACATTTAACATCTTCATATAGGTATATAGACATATTAAACATTCTGATTTTTCCAGAAAAGAAACATGGAGTATCATTTCAAGAGCTCTTGTCATCTTTTTTCTTTCAATCTTTTGAGAAGTTATGATTATAGAGGGAAAATGTATTTCAAGAAATTTGTAAATTTTATGAGACTGACATGCTGCCTATTGCGCTGAGGGTGGGCTTAAATTTGTAAATTTTATATACCCATTCGTGTTTTTAGTTTAGTATGCCAATGCTTTTCAGAATTAGTTTCCTTGGATTAAATCTATTTAGGGTCATCTTTCTATAGCCTTCTACCTGCATCTCCTTTCTGTGCATCTTATGTCATGTTTTCTCTTTGAATACTGGTTTTGAAAAGAGGAAGATTTCAAGACAATGTCCTTTCTATTTTGCTTAGGAAGGGAAGTATGTGGCTTACCCAAGTCATGTCTGTTTAGCTTATCTGCAGCTTCAGATATGCATTTATTGGATGTGCTAATTTTTTAGGCATTGGAAAATTAGCTAACCCCATTTATATGTGTGTTATCATCTGTGTGTGTACATGTAATGGAACAGGAAATCAAATTGAAATTTCCAGTTTTTAGCACCCAAAAGCTGCTTAATTTTTTAAACGAAGTTCTTTATGAGGTTGGTATAGAGTCAGCAGTGACCATTTCCCCAATTTCAGAATTGTTTTTGCAGATGTAGGGTTTCTAAAATTTACTTGTTTTTCATGTTCTTCATATACAAGCCTTGATTTAAAGTGTTTTGATCATTTTTCCAATCTGCCATAACTCACAAATTTTAGTCAGAAAATAGACCATAACGTATTCTAATTTTTTTGTTAATATGTAACATTCAATTTAGTTGACTTCCTTACCTTAATTTTCTCAGAATTCATGTATATCGAGCATATCCATACCTTTTAAGATATTACTACCTAGGTATTGTATTACCCAGTTATTTCTTAGAAAAGCAGTTTTTTATTATCCAAAGATAATTTTGGTATTAATGTAAGAGGTTTAGGAGCTATTATATTAGCAGCCACCAGATCCAGAGTCCTTAAATTCCTCTTTAAATTTTAGAAAAGTCAACTTTTAAAAAACACCATTGTAGTTCTGAAGAAAGAAATTTATGTCTTTTCTTCTTCAGAAGACCACTATTCACATATGTTAAGAGGGATACTTCTGTTGAAAGTTGCTGTCCTTTGTATTGCACAGTGCTTGCCAACATCCTGGTCTCCATGGACTGGATGACAGTAGCAACACTCCAGTGTTGACAATGAAAAATGTCTGTAGAAATCATCAAATGTCCCTGGAGTGGAGAGGTGGGGCAAAAATCACACTGGCTGAGAATCACTCTTATAAGAAGATATCTCATCTTTATAGCTGATATTTGCCTCTGTCAATATAATTACCTATGTTTTGTTCTTAAGTGATCAGTGATTGGTAAGCTGTAAGACAGAATTTTAAGACCAAGAAATGCATTATCATGTAATCTCCCTCCCCTCTCTCCTTTTATAATCCCTGATAAGGAAAAATGACATTTATTTTTTTAAATTCAAATTACTTTTTAAAATTCATAGCTTAAAAAAGGTAAAATAGTAATCGGGAATGGATGTTTTCTAACATTGAGATAAGAAATGTCTCTTTTACAGTTTAATAACATTCATAGTTTTCCTTTTGGACATGACTTATACATAGTGTACACACATATATAGCCTGTCTACACTCCAGAAGGAATGTAAGTAAATTAAAACTGAACTCTGTAAAATGTGCCACGTAACAGAAACCTGTTGATAATAGGAAGAAAGCAGGTATTCCCAGGAATTTGTAATGAAACTGTTGTTACAGTTGAACATTGTGTTTATTGTAATGCTGCTGAGTTTTTGGACAACAAAGAACAAAAAGAAAAATCTTGAGTTAAGATTATGAAATAAGAGAGCTGACTTGATAGGACTCATAAAGTTGTATACCCCGCTGCATGTAACTTAATATTTACTTCTTGTTCTTTTCTTTTTCCAAGATAAAGTGAAATCTTTTCGTGCAGCTCTACAAGAAGAAGAACAGGCCAGCAAGCAAATCAACCCGAAGAGACCCCGTGCCCTTTAAATTGGCATTTGCTGCTAACAGATTCCCAGAACCCTCACTATTTTAACATACAAGGTTCAGCTGTAAGGGCCATTTGAAAGTTTGAAATTTAAAGTGTCTGTGGAAAATGTCTTGTCCCTTCGCCTGAAATGACATTTCAATTTTGTGAAACACAACTTTGTCTCCAAAATGCTTCTAGTCCAGGAGGCACAACCAAGATTTGGGGATGGTGAAGCATTTTGTTTCATTTACCCAAATAGTGATTTACATTTGGAGATCCCTGCCAATTTTATTTTCTACATGATGAAGTAAGATTGTGGACTTGATCCAGGGGTGAATAGTAGGGGGAAGCCACAGCATTTCCTTTTAACTCAGTTCAATTTTCGTAGCAAGACTGAGCAGTTTTAAATTCTTTGCGTGCATGCATACCTCATATGTGGTTGTACATACCTTGCCCACTCCTAGAGACAGCTGTGCTCACCTCTTCCTGCTCTGTGCCTTGACTAAGGCTATTAACCCTAAATTTCTGAAGCACAGCCAAGTTAAATTACATTCCTTATTTGTCCTTGTAAATTACCTTTATTGTGTGTACATTTTTACTGTATTTGAGACATTTTTTGTGTGTTGCTAGTTAATTTTGCAGGATGTGCCATATTATTGAATGGAACTAAAGTCTGTGACAGTGGACATAGCTGCTGGACCACTCCATCTTTTATGTAAAGAAATCTGGAATTATGATTTAAAACATATAACATGTGGATATAATTTTCTTAGCATTTTCTTTGTAAAGAACTAAAATACAAACTAGTTGGTGTATAATAAAAAGTAATGAAATTCTGAGAAGAGTTTTATCTTAGGATAATACATATATATGCAGTGTGTTCCAGTGTGTTATTAACAAGACTAATAGTGCAATTTGCTCCTTACCAATACCATTACTTAAGTTGAAGTGTCCATTAGCACCCCAAAATGTGTCTTTTAAATGTACTGTTAAAGGAAATTGGCTTCTGATGCATGAACATTTACATAATACATTGAAAGTAGTCCATAATAGAACTGTTAGTTTAAGCCAAGTGTAGAGAGTATGTAACTCCCTTGAAAAAGAATTAAGCTAAAAAGAGTTGACTTCGCCTTAACAGGCAGATCTAATCCAGGCTCCATCTGTTCTCTAACGTGTGATGTCTCACCATTACTTGATGAGAATCACCATATTCTCACCAATAAATTGGTCTAGGGTATGCTACTTTTTAAATGGTAAATTTTTACAGATTGCTACTCCAAGGAAGAAAATTGGCCAATTTTCATGTAAATATTTTGTTAAACGATTTATGTATTTCTCTAGGAGGTTTCCCTCAGTTTCTTAGGAGAGTTCATGAGTAGATTAACAGCAACAAAAAAAATCTCCCAAGGATATCCACTAGCTCATTCATATGGGCTAAAGGGAAACTATGAATAGAGTCACATGAGCCAGATTCCCTACTTCACTTCATAGAACTCAGAGGGTAGTTGTGGAAAATCCGAACACCATGGTGAAATGCTCCTCTGTAAACTTGAAATCTAGAACAAATGTAGATTTTCACAATGTGCTTATTAATAAATGGAATCTATGGAATGAGTTTAGAGATAATTTTTTTCAATATAATCACCTTTGTTTTGGAAGGGACTCAGGTTTTCTTGCAGCTGTTAGATATGTTCTATTTGTGTTTATTTCAAAGAGAAGAGGAAGAATGGAGAACTGTTACTATTGACCTTGCTGAGTCTGTTTAAAGAGGTTGTTTTTGAGCCTAACAACCTTTGAAGGACAATAAAAAGATGTGAGCTTGCTCATTGTAAAGCACAACAGAACAGTGTTAATTTATTACTTAAAATAGATGGGTACTATCTCTAGAAGGGCCCCTTATATCCAAATTTGCTGCTTTATGCTATAATGGCTTCATTCTGATCAGTAATGAAGGTATATAAAAAATCAGTATACCAGAAAAGATATTGGTAGTAGTATACAGTCCTTCAGTTTTACAGATAGGGAAAACTCAGCAGTTACTAAAGCGTAGAGGGAAAGTGGAATTAAATCTTATAATCTTATAAGAATAGAGAGAATACAAAGGAATTTTGAGAAGTAGTTTTTGTGATATTTTTAAAAACATACTCAAGTATATTTAATACTTATATAACAAAAGTAGCTTGATGCAGCTATTTAAAAAATAATTTTTTCGATCTGGATTAAACAAAGTCTTTCTCAGTCTTGAAAGTGGATACCATTATTAATAAGTAACTAAGAACATACATTATTTTCATTATATAGAAATATTTTAATACATCACTTTGAAGCCAGACTTTAAAAAAACACATGTAGTTAAACAACTTCCCTTCTAGGTTCATTCAGTGTACCTTTGTTAAAATAATTTGGAATCACTCCTTTTAAATTAGGCATAAAGAAAGCCAAATATCAATGAAGCTATTTTTATTTCCTTATGTAAATAAAATAACCAGCATTATTTATAATTATTTAATAAAGGGCATTAACAATTACTATTACATTGATAATAACTTAAACATAGTAGCTAATTAAGACTTGCTTATGACAATTATTGAAATTCTCATCCACACATTTCAGAAATAGCTTAAAAGTAATTATCCAGAAGCTATAGAAATACTTGCAGGAAAATGACTGAGAGTTTTGATTTACAAAACCTTTGGAAATTTCGTTAAACCTATGACTGTCTCCTCACGAAAAAAAAATCATATAATTCATTTCACGCTGTAGTTGAGCATCCTCATTTTACAGGTAAGGAATCATGCTCAGAAGTAACATGTCTGCCACCAGATGGCCTCAGTAGCTGACGCAAGCTTACCCAGAGCCCAAGTAAATATGCTGATGTTACAGGCTAGCTAAAGTGGTAAGCAATGACAGACGTTGTGCAGGATAAACAGAACAAAATTAAAACATTTTAGGAAAATTGTTTTTGCTGTACACAAGAATAACAAGAAATGGTATGGGGAATATGTGACTCAGTTAAGCATATTTTAACTTTACACCTGAGGGACAAAGGCCTAAAGAGCTGAAAGTCTAAGGTCCTCAGAGTAATATATAACAGAAAATAGAAGAGTAACATCTTCATAAAATAACCTGTTAGAAATGGTAAGTTTAAAGGTATAGTTGTGCGTGTCTGCGGCTTTTGAACTTGAAGAATATTGTGTATAGATCGGTCCCTGGCCTATGTAAGATACTAAAAACAAACCCAAACCAAAAAAACTTGGGTACTTAAATTGACTTACTTAACTACCTTAGAAATTCAGAGTAATAACTGGTAACAACAGTAGTATTAAATAAAAAATAGTGTCCCAATGGAGAAGAGCATACTTCAGCTTCTTAAATTATTAAAAACATATAATTCCAGTTTCTTTTGAGTTTGAAAAATTCTGTCTTCAGACCTAAGAAAAATGGATACCTTCTGCATTGAATCCATGTAATAATCTGAAAAAAGAAACCAAAATGAAACGGTATTGAAAAGCTAATTTGTAACACTGAACTGTGCATATACCTCCCATACTATGAATTCTAAAACAAACACATCAGCAAACCTATGAAGCTCACCCACTCCTAACACTAGTCACTAAAGGAGAATTATTCATCAACAAAATTCATAAGACATATATTGGTTAAAACCACATCTTCTTAGTACTTCTTTTTGTCATAGCTTATATGTCTTGAATTTAACCCAGACCTAAGAGCTTATTAGTACTTGGTTCAACATGGTAAGTGAATAAGAACCTATTTGGAATTAGAGACAGAAGACAGATAGAGCTAATCTTACGTATATGTCTATTCCTCTCTGAACTCACTGTTACCCAAGTTTAAATCTGTATACCTATATACTTAATCAGATCCTAGTTAGCAAACTACATATACTTAGTAATCTTGAAAGAAATTTGGTGAGAATGAAAGAAATTAAGATGAAATATTTCTATTTAGACCTGAGATTATTTTTAGGATGGCTTGTAAGGATAGGTCAAGATGGGTTAAAATGTTTAAAAAAGGAAGATAGGTACTTATGAATAATATTCAACTCCTAGGATTAACATCTAATACTGACTCAGTAGTATCACTAATCTACCAATATAAAATATAAACCCTGTTTGTCTCAGTTATGTAGAACTGTCCCCAGCTTTGAAAAGTTAAACCAATCAATGACCTTTGTAATAGTCTACCCTTATTTCTTATTCAGCCCCTAGAATATCGAAGCTTTAAAAATAAATCAGCTGAAAAGGCTAAAACTGCAGTTAAGTGATTAGTTTATTAGTTAGGAAATCAGTGTTAAGGGATTAAAAACAGTGAGTACAGGTTAATAATTACCTGGGTAATTTAAATCTTCCTCTGCTTTCATGCATATTAATTGTATAACTCAAGGGAAACAAATTTTGGTGTATACTGCCCAGATAATTACAAAACAAGTAACTACTAAATGAGTTAGAAATGATAATCAGATGTTTGTAACACTATTTCAAGCGTAGGGTCTATTTAACAATAGCTATGCCCAATAGAAAAAAAAAATGAGGCCCAACTGTGATAATTTTGCCTTATAAGCTACTTGAAGAGACACACTACTGGCTATCAATGGGAGGAGTCAGGGGAGGGGATCAGAGCGGAAGAGCACGCACACCACGACACACACTGACTTAGAGGCTATCTCCAGGCTACGACTGTTAATTTACTACTGCTCTTAAAATGTACATTCTGCTGCAGCTAACTAGCCTCCATCTTCTACACCAAATACTATTCCATGCCACGGAAGTGCTATGCAATAACTCCCAGGTAGCACCTTACACCACTCAGAAGCCTTTAAGTTTCTAATCTGAAGGTGCCACAGTAAAGAAATGTAAACACTTAGGAAAAGAAAATTGTAATTACCTGATAAAGTCATCTATGTCCATGGAACGGGCCCGCTTGTCACTAAAACCTGTGCTGGTTAGGACTTGCTGTATTTTATCTGCTATGCTGAAATCTTCTGGTATAATCTATCAAGATTCAGAATAAATGAACCACATATATTTAATGAAGTCACCTTGACTCTTTTTTTTTTTTTTTAGATCAGTAAGTCATAAAATAGTCACCATGTGTCCAGGACAGTTTAGAAAGCCTGTTTGTGCAGATAAAACTTGGATCTCTAAGTGACTGATCTTCAGCACATAACAAAGACTTAAAAGACCTTGAATTAGTTAATCAGGTATACTGCCCTCTTTTTTAAATATTCTAACACTTTTGGGCTTCACAAAATACTTCATAAAATAATTAAGAGCTGTAAACTAAATTTTAGAGCAATTCTTTAAAATAACTCATTTTCTTGGCACAAATCTCACTTTACCAGCTTAATTTTTCTGTTAAGAGATGGTCTCTCCGGCCCTTAAGGAATATTAAATATATCATACTTCACATTTTTCATCCAAATATTTTTATCTAGCTTAATATTTTCTTGGGTAATGTTTAATGACTTTGTCCATAAAATAAATGGAGCTAGCAATGTGGTACATTAAACCACATAAGATCTGAGTCCAAAAATAGAAAATTAGCTTTTACCTGTTCAATTAATTTGAAAGAATAAGTTATCACATAGTCACTACATATGGATATGTGTATGTATGCTCCAGACACAAAACTGGTTAAAGGAAATGTTGCACTGATAATGATAGGCATGAAGCTCAACCAGAAATCTATTCAGTCTATAATCAATATCTGGGTATTAAAAAGTTACTGAGAAATGGCAATTTAAGTTTGTAATTGCTATATGAGCAACAAACAAGAAGGAATGACCACAATTATTTTAAGCTGAGCAAGCTGCACATGCCTAAACCTCTGAGGAAATTATGATTCAGTTGAATCTCTGTATGCCCAAAAGAACTGTTAGTGGTTAAAGAAGACAGAGTGGAGTAATCAAGGTTGCTCAAAACTGTTCCACAGAATATACATCAGCACTGACCTCTTAAAATTGTGCTAGTTATATATATTACATACTGTTTCTTAAGTATCTTATGAAGTGTACAAAATTAAAGAATCTTTTAGTGATAGATAAATAAGGGAAATTTTAAGACAACAAATCATTGAAATCACAAACATTTTCTGCTTACAGTATTATGGACTGAACAGTGAATTCTGTAGTTTTTTTCCAATAGCTGTTGTACTGCACTTGACCTGTAGCATAAATGACATCACTATTATTATTCAAAAAGTTAGAGATTATCAATAATTTCAGTTTATGATAAGATTAAATCTGTGTTTCATATGGTAAAATTAAGAAACCAAAAGAGGTGTTGAATACTTATGAAACAATTACAAACTACATAGTTACATTTTAAAAGTAAGGAAAGTCCTAATAAACATCTCAAATTTTTCAGGAAATTCTAGACTCTCCACAAACCACCACCAACCCTTCCCCCACCTTAAAATTATAATCATGGCTTTCACTTCTCTTTTACCTTATGCCCCAAAATGCTGTTACATTTTTCCACCTTAATAAAACTAAATGAATCATACACAAATGTGGAAGGGGTTCATCATCACTCCATTTTTCCAAAGAAAAACTAGGCAAATGTGTGGTCAGTTTCCCGCCCCCTGCCGCTCCCCACCCCCGCCCCAATTTACCAAAAAGACCTTATCTAATTCCCAACTCTAGGAACTTTCTACATTAAATTCTCCTGCCTCCCAAAGTACAAAATCAGTTAAAAAGGTAAAGTGTGTCTGGACCTTATGCTTAGGCTATCTGTTCACGAGAAGAACCAAACCCTAGCAGTTTGCACAGTATCTGGAACACAGGTACTTCATACATTATAAACTAGAATACTTACTTAAATGCAGCAGACAATGTCTTGTTTTTCCTAACAAAGGTGATCCTTACTAGGCCATCCCATTCCTGAAACAGAAGATGGATATTTTTTTAGAAAATATCAAACTTCTTACCTAGGCCTGCTAGGTATTATTTTGTCTCGTAATATATAAAACTGGATGGAACCTTCTGGAGTGATAAAAATGTTCTTTATCTTGATTTGGCTGACACATATGCAAAAGTAAGTATATACTTTTTTGAACTTTCGTATACCTCACTGAATATTTTATCCTCAGTTCTAAAAATTAGAAAAAAATAACATAAGTGTTCCACATCTGAACAAAAAACAATACAGCATTTTGGCATCTGGCATCTGTTATTTTCAAAAAACATGATTCAGAACAAACATGATTTAAAATATATCCTGGGCAATACACCTAAACCTCCTTGAAAGGGTAATTGACAAACTGCTCCATTTACCACCAGTTATTGACCACAAAAGTAATGATTTTATTCAAAGAGATTGCAGTATGGCTTTACATCAAGTGATCTGGCTTCCTTCTCTTAAATTGCAAAGCTAGAATTTTGATGAAAAAGTGTTACCCATAATACTAGTCTAACAACTAGTTTCACTTTATCTTGTTTTCCAAGTCTTATTCAAATAGAGACACATTTTCCATAGCTATAATCTCTAGGAAAATGCAACGGCATTCTAATCTTTTTACCTTTTGCAAACATTTTCAGTGCACTTTTGTGGTCTTCCCAACAATCTTGACTCAAATTATTCCCTCTACTCCATCAGAAGGATGTATCATAATTAACATTTTTCTGTTAAGACATTTAGATTCAGTATTTTTCTGCTGCTACAGACACACATCTTCCAGTTTGGACATTTTTTTTCCCCCTTTATTGAATGACCTAGTATTTTAATCTCACCTGAAAATTGATAGGTGGTGGTGGATTCTTAGGTTCTATTCTTACAACACTGGATTCCACTTTTGGTGGTGGTCTGAAGTTATTCTTCCCAACCTGTTAATCAGAAAATGTTTAAGTAGTCCTCTCAAAAATAACTTAATTAGTAATCAAATATGCTATCCTCGCAGAAGACACAACTGGATGCTCAGGATGAGTTAAGTCACATTATTTCAATAATAGTCACTTACTTTCATTAGATGGTCCACACGTGCTAACAGCTGTGTATTAATTGAGAGTCTGCAGTACAACTTATCTCCAGGTTTTGCAACAAGCCTAAGAGCAAACTCTCTTTGAAACATAAGTATTGCACATCTGAAGACAGCAGAAAGGAATAAGAAAAATGGTTACTTTCAGCTATAAATGTGTTTGAACTTCAACAGATTTTCTTGGGTAGGAAACAGCAAAGGAATGTCCGCAGTTCTTGGCAATTAGCCCAGCTGGTTAAAAGGCTGAACACTCAACCTTAGCTTTATTACAGAATGTTCCAATTGGTTTTTTCAATTTATAATGACTGTACCCCTCATCCCTTGCTAACATATGCCCTCAATGATCAGATGAGCAAGTATTTCAGTATTTCAGATCAGCACTAGTCTATATCACCCCTTCTGGGCAAAGACAAATCACATTCATGGGGTAACAGATATCTTTACAGAATTGCTGAACAAGGTTGTGAAATCATTTTTCTCCAGATAAAAGGACGTGGGTTTTATTTTTTCAGTCAGCAAGCAATGGGAAGATTTTTGGAGACTCTTAAACATAAGATCATCTTCAAAGCTGGGTTTCTATTTGAAAACTTTTTTGACTACAAGTCACACTAAGAAATACATTTGACATTGCAACCCAGGTAACACACAAAAAAACTTTTGTAAAACTATAATCACCTGGGCCACATGTACTTAATACCCTCAGATATATTCTATTCCATGCTATTAAAAAAAAAAAAAAGTCATGGCCCACTGAATTGATTTTATAATCACTAAGGAGTTTTTGACTTGCAGTTTTGAAAACGATTGTTATAGACTATACTAGTAACAACTAAGGTAGCCACTGAAATTGTGTAGACACGAGACAATGAAAAGTCTAACCTAGGTTAATGGCTTAGAGGATGGGAAACTAGGGAAGGGTCGTCTGGTCTCAGAAGCAGGACTTACACTACACCTCCCCCAAATAACTGTCAACTTAAAAAAGAAAGAGAAGGAGAGAGAAAGACCTCCACACAAATGGATATTTTCTACAAAAACAAATTGTCCAGTAGTTTTTTAATTGAACTAAGTTGCATCTTTGGCTTCTGTGTTCATGGCCTAAACTGTCTGTCTTCCTAAAATTTGGCAGTCACTTTGGTATTTGTCACAAACCTGAAAAAAGGACGGTGCAGCAACAGCTTGAAGACAAAAGGAGATGAGATCTGGAAGAGAATTAACTAGTTATTTCTGGGAAAGACACACCAGGGAAATATTTAATATAATGTTTCTGACAATTTGAAAACATACCTGATAAGGCAAATTTGCCACACATGCATCAAAGAATGGCAAATCTGTTTTCAACACATCACCCACCATTACTTGAAGCTTGTTGGCCAGAGGTCTGATAGTAAGAAAAACATAATTAAAAAACAATGTTGTTTCATGAGTTTGAAATGCGCTTTAATTCTATTCTGAATACTCACGTGCCCTGAACTCTTTTGTGCAGTTCAGCTACTAGCCTTGGGTCAAGTTCACAGGCAATTACCTAAATTTAAAAAAAAAAACAAAACTTTTTTTAAGAGTAGTTACGGAGTATAAAACTTTTCTTATCTCAATAGTAACTCCTACATGATTTGTATGAATTAAACTTCTTTTTCCCAATTCTATCACCAATATTCCTTCAATTGTTCTCTACCATTTCAAACAACAGAAAACACCACCATGCAGAATTGTGGTCAGCTGGAGAGCTCTACCCAAATAGTTGACAGAATTATCATGCTCCTCTAGCTCCATGATTTAGCACTGAACAGAAGATGAAAAATACACAAGTCTGTGTAGTAAATGTTCTAGTCAGAAGCATACAAAACTGCTGCTAGAATGAGTACACCATTTCTCTCATCTACTAAGTCCACAGTACACAGAATAGATAATTTCTGAAGTAAATGTAAAGGGATACCAGGTAAGGCTGAAATGGTAATTTTAACCCACTATCAGCTGATGTTTAATGACTTGCAGAAAGACCATGTCTACAGAGTGGATATATGTGCCACTTAGTCTGCTTGGCTCTTGGTCCCTTTCTCCAGCTTTACCTGTGCCCCAGAGAGTGCTGAGGTCCCGCTCCCTTGCCCTTTGCCCTCCCTTGCCCTTCTGGTTGGGATTGGCCAGTGAGAGGGAGCCAGAATCACAGGGCACAAGAACAAAGGTTGAGTATTTCCTAAGGCCGGCCCATGCCTTGCAGGTGTTCTGACTGTGGCTGTGTTCTCCTGTCAGTGGCCCCTGTGCAGTGGCTCAGTAACACAGTCCCCTCCTCTTGCCCCTTGAGTCCTTTGAATGTTAACCGTTCATTACCTGCTATTCCTAGTCCCTGGGTCTTTCACTATACTTACCAGTTCCTTTTAACCTCATTCCCACCATTAAAAAATATCAATTTGTTAATAGTCTCTTCATTAAACTCTCTTCAAATAAGTGCTTTCAAATGTGCTACCTATTCTCACCAGAGGACACAAAAATAGTTCCGTCTAATTAGACACTGGGTCAGCCATGAGACAAAGAAGGTACCAGCAGCGGCCACATGACACCCCAAACTCAGAGTCCTGTGTTCCAGCTCTTCAGATCTCCCCTAAAGTTCTAGGCTCCGATAACTCCAACAGTCTTATTTTGCTTCTCTGAAGCCTAGGGATGATAGCTGCTCTTTGCAAGCATTATTCTTGGATTACCTCAATGTTCTCGTTTTATTATTTCAATCCTGTAACAACCACATAACCAATCCCTATACTAATTTCCCTGTCCTGAAATTATCTAATGTGGTTTCTTTTTCTGACTGATATATCCCCTATTTCCTTTCAATCCATTTTTATTTTTTAAAGCTTTTATTTCTCTATTTCTAGGGAGAGGGGAAGGGAGGGAGAAAGAGCGGGAGAGACACATCATTGTGTGGAGCAACATCGACTGTTTGCCTCTTGTACATGCCCGAACCAGGGACTGAGCCTGCAACCCAGGCATGTGCCCTGACCGGAATACAACCGGTGACCTTTTGCTTTGCAGGACAACACCCAACCAACTGAGCCATACAGAGCTAGGCTCTTTTAATCCATTTTTAAAAATTAAGATATAGTTACATATAATACTATATTAGTTTCGGGTGTGCAACATAATGATAACATGTATATACTCCAAGATAAGACTAGTTAACATTCATCACCACAGTTACAAATTTTTTGTTTTATGATGAAAACTTTTAAGATCTACTCTCTTAGCAACTTTAAAACATACAGTACAGTACTGTTAATTATAGTTACCATGCTGTCCATTACATTCTCAGGTATTTTGTATTTTATAAATGGAAGTTTGTACCTTTTGACCACTTTTACCTATTTCACCCATATTTTCTAAGATAAAGTTTCTAACAAAGGATTAAGAATTCCTGTTAAAATAATAGTAATTAATTAAAATAGACATATTTGTAAGCCACATGAGCTTATACACATAATTGTTTCTGATATCAAACATAAAATCCCTTTTACCTTTTTTGCCTTTTCTAGCAACTTAACAGTCATATTGCCAGTTCCAGGTCCAACTTCCAGCACAACATCAGTTGGTCTTAAGGCAGCCTGAAAATAACACAACCAAACAACCACTTTAGCTTTACTGGCATATCTGAACACAGAGTTTAATTTATACCTGAATATCTTTGCTAGAAAGTGCTCAGTTAAAAGATTTTATTCTAAGTCTATTATTAGGAATTCCTTCATAATCTATATGCTTAACAAAATTATCAAACATTTAGTTCAAGAGGAAATCTGATGCCTAGCCTAACTTAGGGCAATAGTTAGGAGTCAGAAAAGCAGAATAGCCCTGGCTGCCTAGCTCTGTCGGTTAGAGCATCATCCTGATACACCAAGGTTGTGGGTTTGATCTGGGTCAGGGTGCATACAAGAATCAACCAATGAATGCAACGGTGAGTGGAACAAATCGATATTTCTCTTTCTCTCTCTCTAAATCAATACATAAATTTTAAAAATTAAAAAAAAAAAAGCAGAACAGCAGCTCTTTCTGGGAATCGCATTCTACTTTCTACCTTGTAAATGATTTCAATAGCATCTTGCCACCAACTTTGTAATCAATAAATTTAAAGTGGAAAGGAATGTATACAATGACCTTGCATGAAAGCCATAGCATGGCTGTACCAGGGTTTCTCAATTCTCAACCCATGTAGTTTTCAGGGACGCAGGAGTAACCAGAAATTGTACACAATAGGAGTGTCTGTATGTACACAGCTGTGGTATTCTGAGTCCACAGTTCTTATCAGTTGCTCAAAAGAATCCGTGAGCTAAAAATGTTAAAAAGCTAGGCCCACACTCATTTTATAAATAACAGGAAGATGAGATCCTTTCATTGTGTAATGCTCTTTCCACAGCTCCAGGATGCTTCCTTTGTAGCAATAAAATTAATTTGCACCTCCTATTTATCATGTCCTAGCACCCAATCATCCAAAACAATAAGGGAACATCAATAACCCATACAGGAGGGATACTCCAAAGAGTTTATTTGTGTAACAGGATTATATAAGTTTCTCTGGGGGAATAAAATTCCTAAGATGTCTGTTTAGACATATGTTTAGGCTCTGGAATAAATAAAAACTAACAGTCATAGATGATGCCTAGAAAAAGTGATTGGGGAATAATAATAGTCAGAAATTGAATGAATGTCCAGCTACGAAGTAAACAACCTATGGAAAGAAGAACTTGGAGCCAGTAGAAATCCAGACCCACAGAGTGACGCAAATCATGGCAAAGACGGCTTGTGAGACCTAGACAATTCTGTTCATTCAAGTCTTTATAGAGCATCTATTTTGTGCTAGGCATTCTCTCAGCGCTTAAATATTCCTAATAATAATTACCCAATAACTCTCTCCCTTTCCTTTTCCACACCCACCTTATCGATAATGCTGTTAACAATGAGAGGGTTTTTCAAAATGTGCTGCCCAATCCCCGTTTTGAACATGAGTCCTGAAAGAAAACATGAAACAGCCTTCATTATCCAACTAATATTCGACAGATATTAGACCGTCCCGGAGAAGAAAGCAGGTTGACAGGCTGAATATTTCTACACAAACGAGAGGCACCAACGTCATACTTGGAGCCGGGATTGATACACTAAGTCCACCCCTTCTTTAGGAAGGAAGCCAGAGACAGAGAGCAGGGCCTGCAGCCGGCGCCCCCTGAATCCCGAGATTTGCGCACTCCGCGGGCACGGGTCCTGACCAGCCTCACTGCCCCAGCCCAGAACTCGGTCCGAGCCCCAGGCTTGGTCCTGCCGGAAAACCTAACCTGACCTCAGCTCCCGCGTGGCTTACCCACCTCCAGCGCTCTTCAGCTCGCTGCGCTGTAGTTGCCGATCCCGGCGGCGGCCGCTCGCCCCTGACTTGATCTTCGGCATCCCTGCAGGCAGCCGTCCCACAAGTCCGGAAAGTCAGCGAGGACCAAAGCAGACTACCCAAGTCTCCGCACCACGTGGGAATTATGATCCGCACCTACCACCCCACTCTCACCGGGGTAGGGGAGGAGGGAGGGAAGGAGCCAACCCCCGTTCTCCTTGGGCTCCGCCCCCAGGAAAAGGACCGACTTTGGAGCCCAGTGGCCGCCGGGCATTGTAGTCACGAGCTGCAGGAAAGCCCACCTCTTGGGAGCCTACAGATCCCAGAAGACACCGCGATTTCAATTTTTGAATTTGGGATTGGCTAGTTTGGAAGTGGGGCGTGGCCTGTCCTAAAGCGCAGAATTAATTAATTTGATTTTGGTCTGGTACTCTGGGGATTGTAGAGGAGGTTTAAGTTATATAATGCAATTATGCCTTGTGGATTCTTTATCAGGCCAGAATCTGAGGTCACTGATGTCGAAAGGTTTCTTTCTGTCACGTACATCGCTCCTGTTTTTCAGCACTTGATGGAGTGGGAAACCCGGTATCTTGGGATGAGGCGTTTGCTCTTTTGGGGAGTGAGTTCTCTGCTTCTCGCGTTGTGGAAAATAATTCCGAGAATATATTAAGTGTCTAGTTCCACAAGAGCTAATAGTTGCTTCGCTTCCTTTTGTGCCATGTCATTCTCCCTAAGTGTTCACTGAGCTCCAGATGTTTATTAAATACTGCTTGGTGATGGAGATTCAAAGTTAAGTAGGAAACTGCTCTTCTCAAAGTGTATTCCATCTAAAGAGACCAAAAAAAAAAAATTCCTAAATTCAGTAAATGTGGTAGTTGGTATTAACTGGGTATTGTATTAGGACAGTATATCGAATCATAAGCTCATGAGTACTAGGTCGATGTTTGTTTTGCCTGTCTGAGCAATGGCTTCGGCTTTTAATGTTTCGGTTTGTACCCTATTTTTCCTTGAAGAAGTTTTTTTTTCTGTTACTACCTAAGCTGACTCTTCCCTTTGCAATTAATTGCGTGCATTCCCAAGCCTTCGTCTTTCTTTGCTGTAATCTTAACTCAGGAGAAAATTCATGTATTCTGGTAGCATCTTCAACTACCTATTTCATTCTGGAGCATCTAGTGTGCCAGCCCCTGTGTCAAATGTTAGGAACAAAAAGATGAACATGACATGATTCCTGCTTTTAAAGAACTTTCTGTCAAGATGGAGACATGCAAATAATTGCAATAATGGAAACATTTCCTCATCAATTAGGTACCGGGTGCTTTAGTTACATTATCTCATTTAACACTTTCAAACAGTTCTCTGAAATAGGTCTTATGTCCATTTTATAAATGAGAAAATTGAAGGACAAAAAAGTTTAATACCTTGCTAAAGATCATACAGTAAAGATGACAGCCTCATCTTGAATCTAGGTCTGTATTCCAAATATTGCTTTAAAAAAAGATATGATCATAGCACTATGGTTACTACATGAGGAAATTAAGGGATATTTTCAAAATAAAATATTTGAGCCTTTTTTAAAAAAAGATTTTATTTATTTATGTTAAGAGAGGGGAAGGGAGGGTGAAGGAGAGAGAAACATCAATGTGTGATTGCCTCTCTCGCGCCCCTGCTGGGGACCTGGCCTGCAACCCAGGCATGAGCCCTGACTGGGCATTGAACTGGTGACCCTTTGGTTTGCAGGCCGGTGCTCAGTACACTGAGCCACACCAGACAGGGGAGAGCCAAGTTTTTATTTTATTTTTTATATATAGTTTTCCCTTTATTAAGAAGTTTTTAAATATATATATATATATTTTTTTTATTTTTCCAAGCTGCGTCTTTAAAGGACAAACAAAAGTTAGTGGATAAAAGTGGATTGAGTGCTTGTATACAAACCGAAAGGTCACTTGTTTGATTCCCAGTGTAGGGCCCAGGCCTGGGTTGTAGGCGGGGACCCCAGTTGGGGGCGTGCTTAAGGCAACCAGTCAATGTATCTCTCACACACAGATGTTTCTCTCTTTCCCCATCCCTTCCCTTATCTCTCTTAAAAAAAAATAGCCAAAGGAAAGTTGGGACTTCAAAGGGAAAAGCACTAACTAAGCCTAGATATAGAGATGTTTAAGGAAGAAAAAGAAACTTGTATAGCCAAGGAATAAGTAGGTAAGGTAAATTTGGATTTATTGTGAAGGAGCTAAAATGTTACGCTAAACACATTGTCCTCACTGCACTCCTCCAGGCTGTGGGAACTGCTAGAGACCACACAGCAGTGTAGAGACATTCATGGGCTCCACATTTCCCTGGGTTCCAAACCCTGCCTTGCCCCTCTTCTTGAATTCCCTCTAATTTTCCTCTTCCATTCACCATAAAGGATCTTTAAACCTTCTTAATTCTTCTCATTCCTCTTTCTTTACCACCTCTGCAGTTCCTCAGCAGAAGACCTTGCCTTTTATGTCACAGAAGGAATGCAATATCACCTTAAGGATATTCCCGTCTTCCCTGGGTCACTGTTCTACACAGTGGAAGTGCAGCAATGAGCAAAATAAAGTGGAGCTTACATCCTACTGAGGAAAAAGAGAGATCATGGCCCTAGTAGAGTAGCTCAGTTGGTTAGAGCATGATTTAATACCCAACGTTGCAGGTTGTATCCCTGGTCAGGGCTCATACAAGAATCAACCAATGAGTGCATGGATAAGTGGAACAACAGATTGATCTCTCTCTCTCTCTCTCTCTCTCAATATCAATAAATTAAAAATTAAATAAAAAGCAGACATTATGTCTGGTGGTGATAAGTGTGAAGAAAAAAGCAAAGCAAAAGAGAAAGAGACCAACAAGGTGGGTGGGAGAGGCTATTTTGACAATAAGAATGGGAGCCAAATGATAATTTTCTTTTGGAGCATAATAGCAAGACCATCCTGGAAGAGGTCACATATTTTAAGCTACATAAACTAAATTGCTGCGGTGAATGAACACATTTAGTTTATGCAGAGACTAAACTGGCGTTTAGCTATGAACCTTGCTATCTGCATCAGAATTGTTCCCCCACAAAATTTATATATTGAAGCCCTAATCTCTAGTCCCTCAGAATGTGACTACATTTGGGGACAGGTCTTTAAAGAGGTGAGTAAATTAAAATGAGATCTTCAGGGTGTAACCTAATTCAATGTGACTGGTGTCCATGTGAAAGAAGGAAGTTTGGACAAAGAGACACCTGGGGTGTGCACATACAGAGGAAAGACCGTGTTAGGACACTGGGAGAACCCAGTGACCTGCAAGTCGAGAGCCCTGAGGAGAATCCAACTCTGCTGACACCTTGCTCATGGATTCCTAGCCTCCAGAATAGTGAGAAAATAAATTTCTGTCATGTAAACTACCCAGTCAGGGGGATTTTGTTATGGCAGCCTTAGTAAACTAATACAGAATGTAACAAAAATTCCCATTCCCAAGCCCCGGTCTAAAATTCTGGATCAGAGTAGGACTGGATCCTGGCAAATGCATTTTAACAGACCCTCTAGGAGATTCTGATTCGCAGGGAAGGTGGGGGATTCACTACTTTTTGCACTAAGACAGCAAGTGATAAATTTCTACAGAAGTGAAAAAAGATGAGGAGGGCTACCGTCATCAATACAGGGAAGTTGTTCTAATAATTGGGATCACACATTATTTTGGCCAAATTTCATACATTTTCTTTTTTCCTGTTCGCCAAGGCAGCATTCAGAAGTGAGACGATATTGGATGCACCATGGAGCCATGAGTCCTAGGGAATTGTGTGATGCTGGAATATGAGCTGTGATAAAGAAATATGCATTGGAAATTTATGCTGGAATGTATTGTCTTTGCACCTACAAATGGCTTAGTAATAATAAAAAATAATTTCATGCTTCTCTGGTTCATGTTTATATTCTTTATTAATTAAAAATAATTATTTTTCAATTTGGATGTGCACAATTGATTCATTGCCATTCTTTGAGTTTTAGGTTGTTAATAAAATGATCTTAACTTCAAAAAGAATTATAATAGCATTTGGTTTGATAGAAAAAGAGGCTTATTTACATTCACAGTATGCTTGAAATTATATTTTAAATGTGCTAGGGAATATAATGAATAAAAATACAATATTGTGAGAGAAGCCAATGTTTCTTTAATTTAGCATTTGCTTCATCAACTTTCTGCTTTCTCTTGTCAATTCTCAACCATTTTGGGGGGAAAGCACTGAATTTACACTTGTATTAATATTTTGAATGTATTCTGAACACATCCAATGATTATTTAATTTAAATTAATTTAAATATTTGTTTGCCTTTTTCTCCGAAGAACCTGTGAATATAAGACTGTAACAATGAAATGCAGTAATATGAGATTATTTATCCAACTATATATATTTGTTTTGTACAAATTATAAAGTATGTGACTAGATTATACATTCATAGTAGCTGAAGGAAGGACCTCCAAGTGAATCTTAATTTGGGGTCCTGAAATTTGTGTAGGCCTTATGCGCATTTTTCTAAGTTACAGCTTTCCTTAGAATTTCAAAAGATCCAGTATCCTAAATAGAAAAAATTTATTCTTCTAAACCAATTTCTTCATTTTAATTCAAATGAGGCTTTATTTTCTTTATCCCATATTCCTTATGGCCTTGTTATTTAACATGTGATCTGTGGACCAGCAGCATTGGCTTTAACTGGAATCTCATTAGAAATGAAGAATTTCCAGCCCCACTCAGACCAACTGAATTAGGATGTGTATTTTAACAAGATCCCCATGTGATTCTACGCACACTTAAAATTTGAGAAATCCTACCTTACCTTTCAGTAAAATCCGAAGATAAAATTAAGCCAAAAAGAAAAAGAAAAAAAGAAAAAAGAAAAAAAATCCCACAGTATCACCCAACCAGTGACAATCCCTGTAATAAAATATATAACATTTTGGCATATATTTATTTCCAAAAATGGAACCATCATAAACATAGTTTTGTTACTATCTCCTTTTGCAATGCATTGTTAATGTCTTAACATGTCAACAAATACATTGCCACATAATTTTTAATGGCAAATACGTATTTTATTTCATATGCATGCTTCATGATTTAATCATTCATTTCTTGCAGTAATTAAGGTAAATTTTATATTTTCACTTTTAAAAACAGCCCTGTGGTCCTGGGCAGTGTTGCTCAGTTGGTTGGGG